GCTCGAGGATGAGAGTCTGTTTGGCCGACATGGAATCCTCCTCTTCCGGCTGGGAGGGGGCTGGTGCAGGCACCGGTAATGTCAGGGGGACCAGCTCCTTCTTCGGCTCCTCTGTCGGAAGGTCAAACAGCTCTCGTATCGTTTGCTGCAAAAAAAAAAAAACAACAAAAAAACACAGGGGTGGGAGCGAAAACGTCCCCCCAAGACAACACAAAAACTCCCCCCCCCAGCCCAGCCCACGCCACCCCCCCCTTCATTATCACCCCCACCTCCCCCAATGCACACTGATGTGCTGCAGAGGAAGCCCAGACAGCTCCGCCACTCGACACGCTCCCTCCAACAGTCCCACCTCCCCCTCGGCCAGCTCCAGCAGTACCTCTTTGAAGAAGGCGGTGGTGAAGTTGCCGCCTTCGATGGCCAGGTCCCCCAGCATCCGTTTCTGATTGGCTTTCTTCAGGATGTTCTCCTCCACAGTCCGGTCGCTGATCAGCCTGCGAGTGGAGGGGGGTGGGGGGGGGGAAACACAGACAAGCATCAGGACCCCATCATCTGACCGAGCATTTAAAATCGTCAAAACCCCTACCCACACCCTGAGCTTCCAAGAGTGGGGCCTGCCTGAAATCAAGAGACTCAACGTCATCCCATCTCCTCCCCCACCCCCGCTGCCCCTTCCACACCCCTCCCTCACCTACCTGCTCCGCTCACAGAGAGAACGAGCGAGCGAGAGCGAGTTTACTGCTCCAGATTCAGCGACAGCAATGCCACTGAACATCAGGGGAGCCATGGTTAGATTCTGTCTTGTTGGAGATGGGCACTGCCTGGCATTTGTGTGGCACTAATGTCACTTGCCCCTTGTCAGCCCGAGCCTGGATATCGTCCAGACCTTGTCGTATTTGAACACGGACTGCTTCAGTATCTGAGAATCACAAATGGTGCTGAAACATCTTCACCTCTGACCTTATAATGTTGGCTGCTGGGGGTGGGGTCACTAATGCAGCAATTGAAGGGATCTGGGTCTAGGATACTACCCTGAGGAGCTCCCAGAGTATCCCACTGATGGCTGGTGGCTCCCGTTGCAGTTTGTGTGCACTTCCCCTGTCCCTCAGCCTGGTAGTTGGACCACGCACGCACACACGCACACACACTACCTGTAGATGTGTACATCTCGGGTCTGGCCAATGCGATGACAGCGATCCTGTGCCTGGGCGTCCATGGTGGGGTTCCAGTCGCTGTCGTAGAACAGCACGGTGTCAGCTCCGGTGAGATTGACCCCGACTCCACCGCTGCGGGTTGACAGGATGAAGCAAAAGATGCGTTTGTCGGCATTGAAGCGATCCATCAGGATCTGAGAAGGGTGGGGGGTGGAGACAGAGAGAGGCAGCAGAGCATTTACACATCCAGCCACGTGCCGAGCCCTGCCACAGGCCCCGTCCCATCGGCGCTCTCCTTGCGGATAGCTGCAAGCTGCTGCCTGACAGTGCACAGCATGATCCCGGAGAGCAAGCGACGTGCGCGAGCAGCGCGGATCGTTCACTTTCTAACGTGACAAGGCTGCGTTGAGCAGCGGTGAAGAGAAAAGGCTCACCATAGCCCTGTGCTGCGCTCCACCTCCCCCCGCCCCCACCCCCAACCGCCATTCTTCACCTTACACAGCTCAAGAGTGCGTCAGACACGTTCTCCCCCCTCCCCAGCAGCGCCAATCCCCCCCTCCCCTCCCCGCGCACACGCACACCCACGCCCTTTTACCTGACGCTGCTCCACCTTCGTGCTGCCATCCAGCCGCAGGTAGATGTGTCCGTGGAAGTTGAGGAACTGCTCAAGAATGTCCAGCATCCGGGTCATCTGCGTGAACAGCAACACCCGATGGCCGCCCACCTTCAGCTGGCGTAGCAGGGCATCCAGGACTTGCAGCTTGCCTGCGTTCGGAGGCAAAAGCGAAGGAAGTGGCGCAGGTGAATGCGGGCGTAAGGCTTGTGACCCGGAGGTGGGCGGGTGGTAGTTGAAAACAGGTTGTCAACGGGACACACTGCTGCCATTGTGCGTACGTGGAGGAGGAAGGTGGTCGGGGTTCGGCGTCTTGATCAGGGGTTTTGGGGTGGGGGGTGCTGCTTTGTCCCTGGGACAGTGTGCGGACCTTCCCAATTGCCGGAGCTGCCCCCCCCATCCAGGGGCAAGTGGGGAGTATTCCCCTCCCCCCTTGTGGATGGTGGGACAGGCTTTGGGGAGGGTGGCAGTGAGGACGGGAGTTACTCGCTGCAGGATTCCCAGCCTCTGGCCCGCTCCCTGTAGCCACAGGATTGATGTGGGGCTGGGGGTGCCGGGACAGTTTCTGCTCAATGGGGGACCCCCAGGATGTTGGTATGGGGGGGGGGGGGGGGGGGGGGGGGTTCAGTGATGGCAACACCATTCAATGTCAAGGTAGGTGTGGGGGGTGAAAACGGTGCCGAATATTGTGAAATGCTCGGGAACGTCCCCAGGTCTGATGGCCTGACAGACAGGTTTGATGACTGGGTGGGACACTGCTCTGCGCAGGTAGGAAACAGCAGGGTATGGTTCAATCACCTCCCACCTCCTCCTCAAACAGGGAGCTCACTTCCAAAGTGGAGCGGCAACAGCCCACGTCCCTCCCGCCTCCCCCCTACGCCCACTCACCGCAGTCATACTGGATAAGCCGGAGATCCGGGAACTGGGTCCTCATGTTACAGATGGTGCGATGGAGCCGGGTGGTCCTGGGCGAGAGCTCCCGGTGTAGTGCATCAGCCAGCAGGAACTGCTGGTGCAGGGAGGATGGGTGAGGGTGAGACATGTGCATTTGGACAGCTGGGGCCTCCACAGGAGGTATAACAAAGATAAACCTGGCAACGAGGGATTAAAAATAAAAAAGAAAACCATAAACCAACTGGTGCAATCAGGTCGTGTACGTTGTAAAGCTGCCTCCACCCTCACACCAAAACAAACTCCCTCTACACTGTCCCCCCACTCCCAGGGGCAGGGACAGCACGGGGTTAGGTACAGAGTAAAGCACCCTCTACACTGTTCTCCCATCAAACACTCCCAGGGACAGGGATAGGGACAGCATGGGGTTAGGTACAGAGTATAAAGCTCCCTCTACACTGACCCCCCCGCAGGCAAACACTCCCAGGGACAGGGACAGCACGGGGTTAGGTACAGAGTAAAGCTCCCTCTACACTGTCCCCCAGAACACAGACAGAGACAGTCCGGCACCCACCTGTCAATGATGTCCGCCAGTTCCTCGATCCGCTCCTCAGGGTTATGTACGGCTCCGTCCAGCGCCCGCGTGCTCCTCCAGTAGGCCTCGGGCTGTCGGGCCTCCCTGCTGACCTGGGCAGCCAGGCAGTGGGCATAGCCCAGGCCTCGCCAGCCCGTGCCCTCGGGCGGGCTGTCCACCCCCACCGCCCTGGCCCTCTCGACGAAGGCGCAGAGCCGCAGCAGCTCACTGCCATAGACAGGGGAGGCCGCGCACCGGCGCTCGTTCACCGTGACGATCCGCTCCAACCGCTCCTGGCGATGTTGCCGCCGCTTCTGTTCCAGGGCTTCCTACAACCGCACAGAGGGGCCGAGTCAGACCTGGTGGGGGTGGGGGGAGGCTCCCCTCGCATCCACGAGCGCGCTCCGACCGCACGGCACTTACCAGTTTGAAGGGAGACTTGGTGGGAGGTGCCTGGTGCCGCCTGGGCCGGAGGGCAGCCAATGAGGTAGATGAGGTGACTGGCTCGACGGGGGCTGGAGCAGGGGCAGCGGCCGGGCGCGCGATCACCGGCCGTAACGTCGGCAGCTCAGAGTCCTCCTTCTCTGCCACGTTGGGGCCGGTCACTACCAACCGGGTCACGGTGGGAGCAGCTGGATGGCAGGGAGAGACACACAGAGAAATGTTACACATCGAACAGCACCGCCCCCCGACTCTCGTAGGGGCGAATGGAACATGGAGCGAGGGCGACCCGTGAGAGAGGGGGGGCCAGGGTGGGTGGGGCGACATGGATTGTGGGCGGTCGGCCGGTCTGGGGACCCAGCACCGCCTCAGCAAGCGCTCAGGGGAAATGCTACTCAGCGATAGTCTTCCCATTGGCACTGGTTTTGGGGCGGCTCATCAGAGTAACAGCCTGTTCCTCGGTGAAGTGCCTGTCTCTCTCTCTCTCTCACACACACACACACACACACAAATCAGAACCCCCACCACCCCCTCAACTCCCCTTCCCTGCACGTGTTGGAGACAAAGAAAATCCCAAGTTGCTCACTAGCCTTCCGTGTCTATGTTCCATCAGCTGCCGTGTGTGTAAATCCCTTGTTGAAAGGGAAAATAGGGAAAAAAAAACCACTTGCAGACGCACCGGGAAGGCAGATGCTGAACTACAGGGTCCCTGTACCCCGCCCCCCCCGCCACCCAAGCCCACAGCGCCTACCGACAGGAAGGAAACCACAGAAACAGAATCGAAATGACCCAGTATCTGTGGTCTGAACAGGTGCTATTGAACTGTGTTTCCCCACGTACTCAACATTCACAATAGCGTTACAGTCATACAGCACAGAAACGCAGCCTTCGGTCCAACAATCCCAAACTAAACTAATCCCACCCACCTGCGCTTGGCTCGTAACCTTCCAAACATTTCCCATTCATGTACTTATCCAAGCATCTTTTACATGCTGTAACTGTACCCATATCCACCACTCCCTCAGGAAGTTCATTCCACACACAAACCACTCTCTGCGTGAACAAGTTATGACATCCTGTACAACCTCAACATGACATCCCTACTCCTACATTCAAAACGCTCTGAGCAATGAAGGCAAAGCGTGCTAAACGCCTTCTTTACCACAGTCTGTGTGTGATGCAAACTTAAAATCAAGTCCCTGAACCCCGGGTCTCTGTTCTGCAACACCACCCAAGGCCCTACTTTTAATTCTATAAGTCCTGCCCTTGTCTGTTTTGCAACACCTTTTGTATTTATCCAAATTAAAACTCCTCCTGCCACTCCTCAGCCCGTTGACCCAATTGATCACGCTCTCTTTGTGACTGTAGGTAACATTCCTCGCTGTCCACTGTATCTCCGATCTGCGCGCCATCCGCAAACTTACTAACCCGTGCTTTCTACACTCTCCTCCAAACAGTTCTTAAATCGATGAGAAACGAAAAAAAGGAAGAATGGATCCAGAAGAGAGCCCTGTGCTTGTGATTCTGAAAAGGGTTAAGCTTAAAGTTGCACAGTTATAAATGGAGAGATATTCAACTCACTTGCAGAAGGTTGGATTACAATAAGATTGGGTCTCTCATTGCCCAGGTGAGCATATTCTTCAACCTCGAACTAAATTACCAAGTAGAAACACGCAATTCAATGAATTTGGGTGGAAGTTCCCTGTTTTTATAAGGATTACGGGAACAGTAGTGCTCGATTTCCAGTGCATTACACCCGGGGTTTCGGCAATGCCTACTCCTCCCCCCTACCTGTGCACAGCTCTGGCCTGTTGGGAGCATTCCCGTGAGAGCGAAATGGGCGCGACAGCACGAAGACGGCAGCAGAGCGCTGTTACCTGGCTCAGTGTTGACAGCTGGTGTGTGAAGTACCCTCAGGACCGGGCGGGGCGCGGCCGTGCTGAGGGTCAGCGCCCCAACAGGCAACTGGACGCGGCCTGGGGTCACCACGGTGGCTGGGAAGCGGGCGGCAGAGACGGCAAGGGGCCGTGGCGAGTGCACGGCCAGCGGGAAGCCTTCCTTGGGTGCCTGGCGGACTACAATCTTCACCACACTGGAGGTGGTCACTACTGAGGCAGGGACTGTGAAAAAGAGAGGTCAGAGAGGTCTCGAGACACGTTTGACCCTGGCAAAGTCAAATCAAGCGAAGTCAATCAGTTCACCCTTTTCCCCCCCCCCCCCGGGACCTACCTCCCCACCTCAATACCCTGGCTCCTACACATCCCTGCAACCCCTCACCACAACGAACATCATCATGCCCCATAACCCTCCCCACCCACCTCTTACACACCCTCAAACCCTCCCAACACCGTAATGCGCAGATCCCTCCCTCCCCACGCCTTCCTGCCCTGATTTCCCCCGCCCACCTCAAAACCCCCACAAGTCCCAGTTCACTCGACTTCCTCCCCACCGCAGGGCTCCATACCCCAGATCTCTCCCATCTGATCCCAAACCTCCACTGATGCGCCAGATCCCTCCCTCCATGTGTTGTACCCACTCCCACACAAACAGGCACCCCGTCCCAATCTACCTTCACAACAGATCGTTCCCTCCCCACCTCAGAGGGAGAGAAAGTGAGAAAGGTGAGGCAGTGTGAGAGGGAGGGAGAGAAAGCAAGCAGGGGAGGCCGCGTGAGACAGCGGGGTACAGAAAAGCAAGTGGGGGAGGCCACGAGAAAAGCTGGGGGAGGTGGGGAAAAGACAGAAAGCAAGGTGAGGCCATGAGAAGGGTGGGGGACAACTGGACAGAAAGCAAAGCGGGGGAGGCTGCGAGAAGGGTGGGGGAAGAACAGGACAGAAAGTAAGCGGGGGGAGGCCACGAGAAGGGTGGGGGGGAAGAACAGGACAGAAAGCGGGGGGGGGGGGGGGGGCCCCGGGAGAGAGGGGGTAAAAGAGTGGGGGAGCGCGCGCGCTATCAGGAAAAGGGGGCGGCTGGCAGCATCATACCCTGTGCAGCAGCTACTGGCACGGCTAGACCAGGCGAAGTGGCGGCCGTGGAGATGGTGGACTGTGCCCCGGTGACCGTCTGCAGCGGTGTCTGGATTCCCATCGTTGGGTGGGCGTTTTGCTGTGCCATGGCCTGCATCAGTGCAAGCTGGGCAGGCTGTCCGATGATGTGATGACCACCCGTTGACACCAGGTGAACCATGTTGCCTGTGGTGGGGGGGGGTGGAGAGAAATAAGGAGGTGATGAGTAGAGCAAGTAGCAGTGAACGTCAGACGGGCATAAATTAAAAAATTAAACCGGGGGGGGGGGGGCGGAGGAGGAGGAGGGGGAGACGAGCACCACCTCACCTTGCAGTTGCCGGGGCTGCCCCACCGCCACTTGTCGGACCTGAGCCCCTGCCAGCGTCAGCTTGTTGCCTTGGATCTGGAAGGTAACGGGTTTGCTGCCCGGACTGACTGGGTGGCCAGACTGCCGGTTAGTCAGAGATGCCAGCTGACCAATACTCACTACCTCACCCGCTGTACAGAGAGAGAGAGACAGACAGACAGACAGAGACACATGGTCAGTGCGTGGGCCAGGAGGTCCCTCCAACCCCACCCCGCACCGCAGCAGCAGCACGCTTCCCCCCCCCCCCCCCAAACTCCCCCCATGTTCTTTGCTCCGTGCAGTCTCCCCTCTCCAGCACCTTCACCCTATCCCCCATGTTCCCCTCTGACCCTGCATTTCCAACACAACGGCACATCACACCCTTTCCCTGGCAGGGTAGGGGGAGGTGGGGAGCAGTGAGAGCCAGGCGTCCGTGTTCGCACCCCCACCCCTCTCCCCCAATAACAAAACACCGGAGTTTGAGAGATCACTTACTGGGCAGCCGGGCCTGTACATCTGGGGACAGGACGAAGCGCTGGGGCAGACCCACAGGCGGGGAGGGGAGAGGGGCAGCAGGAGGGGGAGGGGGAGGCGGAGGGGGTGGGGGAGGGGGAGGTGGGGGAGGGTGTGCCGGGATGGAGGCCGCCGCCTGCACAGCGTATCCCGCTGTCCCCGGCTGCTGCTGGACGGTGGGGGTCACCCTCAGCGCTGACAGCGGGAAGGGCCGGGCCGCGTTGACGGGCAGGGTGAGATGAGGGGAGGGTGTTGAGGGCCGGGCATGTGCCAGGATGGTCCGGGGGGGTCCGGCAGTGCCCAGCGGCAGGCTCAGAGGAGTCGTCGACAAACCTGCGGGCAAGACAAATAAAAAAAAACACACACAGGTTAGAGACCGGTGAGAGGGACAGATGCTCTAGCCCAAGCCTATATGACTGTTCCATATTCACTACAACACTTCTTCACTCAACCGTGACTTGCAGCCACCCGTTAGTGTACACATCTCTCAGAGGGAGCGGGGGCGAGGGAGAGGGAGAGAAAGAAAGGAAGGACGGACGGACGGACGGGAGAAAGAAGAGAGAGAGGGAGAGAGAGAGAGAGAAGAGGAGAGAAAAAGAGAGAGAGCTGAGAGACACCAGTCACTGTACAGATATTTGGGCAGGAAATAAGAGGGTAAAGAGATTGAGAATAAACATGTTTCTATTGTTTTCACTCTGGGCCACAGAACAAGCTAATGCAGCGTGAACCTCGGTCACACTGACCCGTGACTGTACCCAGTCCTCGCCGACACTCAGGATCCAGGCCACCCTCCCCTAAAAACTCACCCTGCGAGGGGATGACAGTCTGGCTGACCGGGCTGACCACTGTCTGGAGTGAGGCTGTCCCTCCCTGGACAGTGTGGAGCAGCTCTGCCACCCCTCCTCCTGAAGGCCGCTGCAGGGCAGGCTGCACCCCCGGGGCTGGGGGCCGGGGACTGTTCACCAGCAACACCGTCCTGCCATCGGGTTTCTGATTGGGCTGCAGCATCCTGCAGGGAGACAGAGATGTGAGACAGGCCGACACGCACAGAGCGAGCAAGCGAGGTGGGTGAGTCACACACGGCAGCCAAAGACCGCTTGAGGGCACTCACCTGTTGACCTTCATGCGGACGGGTTTGGGGCGCGGAGGAGGATCGGGAGCTTCAGCAATCTCCTCTATCAGTTTCTTGGTGACTTTGTGCTTGGGCAGGAAGACCTCAGACTCGTAGCGGGACAGCCGACCCTCTATGTTGATCAGGTCGAAGATGCTAAGATCCACCTGCTGATTTGTTTCCGGTTGTTGGAGGCAGCGGGGTGGGGGGAACAAAAGAAAGAGGCACCATTAGGATCTCTGTTCCATCTTAACTGTCCACACCACAATCTGACAGCTGCACGTGGTCTCGTAACCCCCACCCCGGCCAGTTCGCCTGGACACGCAGACACAGGCGTTATAAAATCAGTCATTTCACACAGCAATCCCTACTGCCCACTGCCTCACTCCAGTCCAACCACCCTTTCCAAATTCTCATTTGCGTACCCCCCGCCAGCCTCCCCGACCCCCATCGCTAGGCTCCTCCCCAACTCCAGCCCCTCCCAGTGTAACAGAGGGTGCCATCCTCCTTCGTGAGCATGCTCCCTCCCCCAGACAAGGCCTCATTGCGCACCCCCACCCTACCAATCGCCTCAGGGACATCACCCTCTCATCCTTCCCGAACCCCAGCGGGTACAGGGCCAACCTTGCACGGACTCCCCGGGACGTGAAGGCCTTTCGGCCCGTCGTGTGCGCACCGAACCCGTGAAGAGCACCCAGACCCACCCCGTACCCGCCAGCTGTCGGGCCTTACCTTGAAGGGCTCGTACTCCAAGGCCCGCTCGACGCAGGAGGCGGTGGTGTAGCAGATGCCCTGGGTGATGAAGGGGGAGTGGATGGGCCGGGGGTCAAAGAGGTTTGGATGGTTACACACCTTCCGCAGCTGCATCAGGATGTTAATGACACTCATGAAGTGGCCAGTCTCCAGCGTTTCCTTGGTACTGGAGGAGGGAGCGAAAGAGAAGGAGTGAGAAGGAAGAAGAGAGTGAGAGGAGGGAGAGAAAAAGTCAGGGTTCAAATCGCTCATCCACCCTGGGATTCCCAATTAAACCTGCCGTCCTCCCCAACAGCCCACAGATCCTGCTGCCAATACCTGCTCCCAAGGGGACTAACAAAAGTGGCTTCCCTGCCCTCAAGCAATGCATTGTACGTCGCAATTTTCTTAAAAAAAAAGGATCGCCCTGCCCCACACTTTTTCCAAATTATCTCACAAACCTAGGAGAGAGAAACAAACCAGGACATTGCTAAGGCCGAAGCTGGAGTGCCGTGTCCAGGTACGGGACGCCCTGTTGTAGGGAGGATATTATTAAACTGGAAAGGGTTCAGGAGAGATTCACCAGGATGTTGCCGTGAATGGAAGGTGAGAGTTATAAAGGAGAGGCTGGGACTTTCTTCCCTGGAGTGTAGGAGGTCGAGAGGGTGACCTTGTAGAGGTTTATAAAATAACAAGGGTTATTGATAGAGTTAACGACGAGGGTCTTTTCCTTAGCGTGGGGGAGTTTAAAACTAGGAGGCATACCTTTTAAGGTGGGCGGAGAAAATTTTAAACAAAAAGTTAAGCCTCATGTCCTTTTCAAAAACAGTGGTTCGTGTGGGGAATGAACTTCCAGAGGAAGTGGTGGGTGTGGGTACACTTACAACGTTTAAAAGACATTTGAATAAGTACACAAATAGGAAAGGGTTTGGAAGGATATGGGCCAGGAGCAGGCAGGTGGGAGTCATTTAGTTTGGGATTATGGTCGGCATGGACTGGATGGGCCGAAGGGTCTGTTTCCATGCCGTATGAATCTAATACTTCCACAGTTTGCCGAAAGAGGGAGAACTCTTGATCCAGATTTGAGATGGTGGGAGGAACCGTGTTGGCATCCACCGCGTTCAGCTCCCCCCATTTTCCCACCTTTAGTACCCTACCCGATTCAGCAACATTACCCCCTCAATCTTCCAGACCCCAGTGGGTATCAGCCCAACTTTTCACACAGAATCCCTACAGTGAGGAATGGGGCCATTCAGCACATCACATCTGCACCTACTCTCTGATGACCATCCCACCCAAACCCAGATCCACCACAACCCTGCATTTCCTACGGCGAGTTTACCTAACCTGCACGGCCCTGGATGCTGGGCACAATTTAGCACGGACAATCCACCCAAACTTGCACATCCCTGGGCACTACGGGACAATTTCCCACGGCCAGTCCACCCTAACCCACACATCTTTGGACTGCAGGACGAAACTGGAGCACTCCGACAGTGAGAACGTGCAGACGTAAAGCTGGAATCACACGGGTCCATGGCGCTGTGAGGCAACTGCGCTAACCACTGAGCCACTGCGCCACCCCCCATTTCCTCGTAATGGGGGGGGGGGGGGGGGGTTTTTCCCCCCAGTTAACCAAGGGAACGTTCTCTGACCTGCCTCCACTGCGAGTCTATCCCTCCGCAAGTGAGGAGACTTGAACTGCACACTGGACTCCGGGTATAGCTGCACCAGCGCCGCAGAAGGTCTGCAGCAACACTTATCCACTCTTATACCTCTGTCCCCCTTTTGCAACAAATGCCAAGGTTCCCACAGGCCTCACTCATGATCCAACTCTCCTCCAGCATCCAGCCCAAGGCCCTGACCGCTCAGAATCGGACTCCACCCTCTGGCTGAGACTCACATTCCTTCCCTCTGCGCCAGTCCCCACGTGTTTATCCAGCTTCCTCCCTTCCGATATTTCTACACCATACGCCTCAGCCATCCCTGCACACGCACACACATGGGCGAGAGAGAGCGTGCGCGCACATGCCCACACTCATACAAGGTTGACATGACCCCCAAGAGAGTAGGAGGAAGTTACTTTGCTCATCGTCTGCTGACTCTCTGACCACATTAGTGCCTCCCTTTGCTTTCATCTCAACCTGGCAGAACTCCCTTCTGGGCACCTTGTCTTATTTGCTGTGAGCCAATTAACCGCACCCTCTACATCCCCATGCTGTCACTAGTGACTGAGCGAGTGGGTGGGAGAGAATATGATCCCTCTGCGCTTCCCAGTCACAAGTCTAGCTCCTGCTCCTGGACCCCGTCTCACCCACACAGGGTAAAGTATCATTCCTAAGTCTGCCCGATTGAACCTCACTCTGTCACTGCCATCGAGATGCTCAGCCCTCCCTTTCCCAAAGGAGAGCTCCAGTGCATTCGAGCATTCCTGCTTTTCATCTCTTGGTTTCGGAGGGACCTCCCCGCAAGCAAATTTCTACACTGTCAAAAACCTAACCATCAATACCGAGCTGACAGGATTCCCACAGGGTACAGACAGCTCAATGTGCAGTGTCACTGCCAAGCTCCTGTACAAGATCCACACGTACTCCCAGGGACAGGGGCAGCACGGGGTTAGATACAGAGTAAAGCTCCCTCTACACTGCTCCCCGCCGCCCCCACCCCCAAACACCCCCAGGAACAGGGACAGCACGGGGTTAGGTACAGAGTAAAGCTCCCTCTACACTGTCCCCCTCCAAACACTCCCAGGGACAGCACGGTGTTAGATACACACACTAAGTCACATGTTCCCCCCACCCCCAAAACGTTAGCGGCTGGGCTGTCACTTACGAAGCCTGCGACATGAAGTCATCATACAGGTAGCGCTGGCGTTTGGAGAGGCGACACTGCACCACATGCTCGTATTTCTTTGGCATCTGTTTTTCCACGTCCAGTTTGATCCTGCGAAGGAGGAACGGTCGGAGGACCTAGGGTGGGGAGTGCGGAAAGCAACTGGGTCAAAATAAAAACCACCGCCAGCAGCTGGAGCTGAGCAGACCAGCCGCACAGACTGACACACCCTGAAAATCTATCCTGCTCAGATCTCTAGATTCACTACCCCACCCCCCAACCAACTAGATTTCCCAGGGAAAGGGATCCACGCATCCCGGACTGCACTTCTCACGCAGCGGGATCTACTGATCCTGATTCTCAGTGGATCTCCACGTCTCTGCAGATCCCAAATCCCATTGTTCACCGACACCCCATATACTAGGGATCTACAGATCCCATGCTTCATAGTGGGGACCTATAGATCCTGACTCTCAGCAGTTCTCCATGCTGTAGGGATCTATAGATCCAGAATTCCAACCTCCCCACCCACCATAAATTGTACGGTAGACATCCACAGACCCTCAACCCCTACTCTTCTCCCCATTTATTGCGAATTTATAGATTCCCGAATCCCTGTCTTCTCTACGTATAGTGGGCACCTACAGATCCCAAATCCCAGTTTTCTCATGCGTTGGGAATCTGTAGATCCTGGTTCACAGCTGCTCTCTATAGAGCCAGAATTCACCCCACCCAATAAAGCAGGGATCCTGAATCGTGTGCGTGCACTATAGCCAGCGAGCAGACTCTTCCTTAAGCATTTCCTGCACTCACAGACCCATTCCGAGACTAGGGACACCCCAATTGTATATTAAAAAAAAACTATGCATCCAGATTTTCAAATCACTCCATGACCATGTCTTCCTCCCTATCCCCAGTCCCTACACCGCTGCCTATCTGTAACCCTCCGATTCCACCCTTGCGAGCTTCACCCGAATGTCATTGCTCCTCCTTCAGAGGCCATGCAGAGTCAGGATCCCGGCCACGGGGGCAAACGCTGGAGGGCAACTGCAGACGAGGGGTAGCCAGCTCACCAGTTGGGGTGGGGGTGGAGAGAGAGGGAGAGAGTTCGGCCCGTACAGAGGGAGCTCAGCAGTGTCTACCTTGTGCAGCCGTTTGACGAGGTTCTCGTTGTACTCCTGGCTGCCCTCGATCATGCCTGTCAGCGGGTTGGAGAACCACTCCTTGAACTCCCGATGTGACTGGAAGACGTGCGGCATCAGGAAGTGCATGAGGGACCAGAGCTCCATCAGGCTGTTCTGTAACGGGGTCCCTGTCAACAGGAGACGATGCTGGCTGTCCGAGAGAGAGAGAGAGAGAGACACAGACAGAGAGAGAGAAAAGACAGAGAAAGAGGTTGAGAGAGAGCAATCCATCACTGACAAGGTGAATGGTGGGCTGCAGGTACAGCGGTAACCGAGGAGAGGCCTGGGGGATGGTGGAGGGACAGAACGGACGGCTGAGGGTTTAACAGGAGGAAATGGGGAGGAACGGCACTAGCCTGTTCACTCATTGTAAGTGAGAACCATGTTAGCTTGCTCCTTGCACAGTTACCAACAAGGACAGCCATCGCTTCTTACCGTATTGAACATGCGCCACACCTCTCCTGGGTATGTTTGTTAATTACGGAGTAAAGCTCCCCCCCAATCAAACACTCCCAGGGACAGGGACAGGGACAGGGACAGGGACAGGGTTAGATACAGGGTAAAGCTCCCTCTACACTGTCCCCACCATCAAACACTCCCAGGGACAGGGACAGGGACAGGGTAAAGCTCCCTCTACACTGTCCCCACCCCCCCATCAAACACTCCCAGGGACAGGGACAGCACGGTGATTAACAGAAGGGGAAACATGTGAATATGGGAACAGGGCAAGGGCTAACACAAACCTGTTGAAGTTCAGCAGTGACTGCCAGCGCTGTGACTTGAAGTTTTTGATGTTCTGGGCCTCATCCAGGATCATGTACTTCCAGTTTTTGCGACGGAACGCCTGGTGATCCTGGAGCACCAGCTTGTAGGAGGTGATGCAGACGTGGAAGGCGTTTGGCTTGGTCCATCCCTACCGGGGTTTTGTGGGGGGGGGGCAGGAAATCCCAGAAAAATTTTAAAAATGCAGTTTAAAAAAAACGAGCACAGAGGCTCCTACTGAACCAGACCCCACTTCCTAAGAAGCCGTCTGCTCACCACCACATGCTACTCTTCGACAACGCGAGGCATCACACCAGTCAGTCAGACTGGCTCCCTCATCAGCCAGAGGAAAGAACACACCTGACCAACAGCCTTGCTGGGCGCTCTGAAGCCAACACCGTCAATCTGACTCATGCTTTCTCCCCACAACACTACACGTTCTCTCTTCACAGACAGCAATTCAACCCCCTCACAACTGAACCCCACCCCCCCACTCCAACAAGCAAATGGGACTGACTCCACGCTGCCCAGACCCCACCGCCATTTCCCTAAACCTCAGTCAGCTCCCCCACATCCCCCGGCCTTCTCTCCCTCAAATGGGGAGCAACCCCAGTGCCTCCGGCCACTCCATGTCCAATTGCAGGATCCGTTCCCAGGAATCCTTCCCACGCCCTCTCCAAAGCCCTCGCATTACCGGGAGCGCGGTCCCAACAACTTTTTCTCTCACACACACAGTCTCCTTGCTGCTGCAACAACAACCACGTGAGCTGCCTGCTACACTCCCCTCCCTCCCCGCCTTACAACTGGGGGACGTAGACAAGATGGACCACGGGAGGAGAGGGGGGAGGAAAACGAATGAGCAGCTCTACCTGGCGTTTGAGTTTCCGCTCCTTCTGCGCGCCGTAGTAGGTCAGGATCTTGAAGGAGGGGCACCAACGTTTGAATTCCATCTCCCAGTTGAGCATGACACTGGTGGGCACAATGATCAGGTGGGGGCCCCAGTTGCCTACAAAAGCAGAGACAGCAGAAATCAAGGATAAGGCAGGAGGGGAGTGCACAAAAGTGTGGTGGAACAGCACATATTCAGGGTGGGAGGATACAACATCATGGCAGCATCCTGCACACATTAGCGGTGGGATGCAACAGCGAAAACTGCTGTATTCCAACGGAGGTACAGAATGGGATGGGTCAGCACCGCAGTATGGAGGGTTAATTAGCATTTAAAAAAAACAAACAAACAGTCTGCAGCGGACGCTCCTGCATTGCAGGATGCCGCAGCACGTTTGGGGAACGTGTCAGCATCACAGTATCCTGTTGCATATCTGGGAGCCTGGATGCATTAGTGCTGCTGTATCAGTGTTCCTCCTATTCTGTCGCTACAGACCGCGAGAAAGAGAGCGCGAGCTCCTATCCCCAATCCCACAGCTGTGGCAGGATACCCACATTTCACCAACACCCCCCCTTACCCACCCAGCCCCCATTCCCCCGAGACTCCTTCAACATAACCGCTCGCACCCATCGCGGAGAGAAGAGGCAGACGCACATTTCTCTATCGCCAGGTGGGCAAGGAGGGCGATGGTCTGGATGGTTTTGCCGAGGCCCATCTCGTCGGCCAGGATCCCGTTGAGTTTCTTCTCGTACATGGTGACCAGCCAGTCCAGCCCTATGTGCTGGTACTCACGCAGGGTCCCGCGCAGCAGCGAAGGGACAGGGGTCTTCACCTGCGGCACACAACACACACCGTCACTCGAGACACGCTGTCCCCCCCCCCACCCTGAGACATGCTGCCACCTCCCACCCCCACCCCGAGACACGCTGCCCCGTTCCCCCCCACCCCCCAGCCCAGGTGGAAATGTCAAATACTCGAGGGCATAGGTTTAAGGAGGGGGGGGGGGGGGGGGGAGAAGTTTAAAAGGAGATGTGCAAGGTAGGTGTCTTTCCTTTTTTTTTGAAATAAAGGACACTGGGCGGTAGGTGACTGGAACATGTTGCCAGAGGTGGTGGTAGAAGCAGGAAATAATAGAGGCATGTTGAGTGCAGGGAGATGGACTGTATACAGGGAGATGGGATTATGGTTGGCACAGACATGGGCAGGGAGGGGGGATAGTGAAGAGCACGTTCTTGTGCACCCTCCCTTCTCCACTCCTTGCACAGCCCCTCTTGCGGGTTACCTGGGTGGTGGCCAAGGTGTAGCCTTTGGGCTGCAGGCTCTCTGCAGCGGCCGCAATGTCAGTGATCTCCTTCTTGGGTCCCCTGGCCTCACCCGGGACCAGGTCCTGGTTTCCCTCGTCATCTCCGTCCTCCCCCTGGATCAGGTACTCCACCCCAATGTCCTCGTCAGTGTTGTCCTCCTCCTCTTCCTCCTCATCCTCCTCATCTGTGACACTTGAGTTTTCAGAGTCTGAAGACAAGGGAAACACAGACAAACACAGTTACCATTTCCAGCCCTGGACTACTTTGGGGATCAATACGGGGCTGTGGTGGGAGGGAAGTGGGATTAGTTTGGGGATTGATATGGGGCTGTGAGAGGAGGGAGGGGGGCAGTGGGATTAGTTTGAGACGATCAGACAATGTGGGTTGCCCCACCTGTTGAGCTGCTGCTTTCTTCCTCCTCCTCATATTCTGTCGTCGTCTCATCACCTTCCTCCTCCTCTTCCTCCGAGTCGGAGCTGTCGTTGGAGTCGGAATCTGGTGTCTCGAAGGAATCAGAGAAAGCCCCACTGTATTTCTTCAGCAAGTCTTCCACGGGCATCTCACCTGCGCGAGAGAGAGAGAGAGAGAAAGAAAAGAGAAAAAACAGAAGAGAAAAGAAAAGAGAAGAGAAGAGAAAAAAGAAAAGGAGAAAAAAAGGAGCGAGAGAGAGAGAGAGAGAGAGAGAGAAAAAAAAAAGATTGAAACAACCCACAAAAACCGAGAAAGGGAGGTGTAAAAACAATGTCAAAACGCATATCGGGAGTTCCATTGTTGCCTTACTTTCCTTGGCTAGGTCATCAAGCTCTGCTTTGTGATCCACCTCACCCTCCAGCGCCTCCTCCATCTCAATTGTCTCCTCCTCATCCTCAGCTGCAGACAGACAGTTCAGAGTCACGGAGGGTAGGGGAATCCGACAGGCAAAACCACTCAAACGCACCCCAAACCCGAACCCCATCCCCACCCCCTCCAACAGTCAGATTCTGGTCTGTAAGTCACTCCCGGGTATTTGTTCCTCCATATGCAAGCCAACCCCCAGCCTCCAGATTAAACTCACGACAACCGATGGCTGTCTGAGGACGGAACAACTGCCCTCAGTTAGAGGGACCAGCACGTCAGTCCCCGATAGACAGCTACTAGAGGTCCCTGCAGCCTGCTATAGGGAATGCAGGAGGAGCTGGCTGGTGTACAGCGTGCCCAATGTTAGCTGAGGAGGGGGTTATAGGATGTGGATGGACAGGGCAGACAACATTAAGATTCACCTCTCCCCCACCGGCCCCCTCCGTCCCCGGGGCTGGTTCCTACCTTCATCCTCGTCTGCCGTGAACTCCTCGTCCTCAGGCTCCCCCCGCCGGTGTTTGCCCCTCGTTGGGAATCGGTGCGCGTTCTGCTCAGCAAAGGAGAAAAGACAGATGCAGACCCGTTGCCTCAGCACTGCCCAAACCAACACACGCACACAGCCCTGCCCGAAAGAGGGTGGCTCTTCCTCTGTATGGAACAACTCCCCACCTCCTCTTCCCCCGCCGCACACTCTCCAGGGGATGCACACTCAGCTATGAGTAGACCATAAGACACAGGAGCAGAAATTAGGCCGTTCGGCCCACCGAGTCTGCTCCGCCATTCAATCATGGCCAATAAGCTCCTCAACCCCTTTCTCCTGCTTTCTGCCCATAACCCTTGATAATCAAGAACCTATCTATCTCAGTCTTAAATCTACTCTGTGACCTGGCCTCCTCAGCCTTCTGTGGCAGTGAATTCCACAGATTCACCGCTCTCTGGCTGAAGAAGTTTCTCCTTATCTCCGTTCTAAAAGGTCTTCCCTTTACTCTAAGACTGTGCCCTCGGGTCCTAGTCTCTCCTACAAATGGAAGCATCTTCCCAGCATCTGCTCTGTCCAGGCCATTCAGTATTCTGTAAGTTTCAATTCGATCCCCACCTCATCCTTCTAAACTCCAATGAGTGTAGTCCCAGAGTCCTCAAACATTCTTTATATTTTAAGTTTCTCATTCCTGGGACCATTCTCATGAACCTCCTCTGAGCCCGCTTCAGGGCCAGTACATCCTTCCCGAGATATGGGGCCCAAAACTGCACGCAATACTCAATGTGGCCTGACCAGGGCCTTGTATAGCTTCAGTTGTACATCCCTGCTTTTACATTCAAGCCCTCTCAAAACAAATGTCAACATGGCATTTGCCTTTCTGACTACTGACTCAACCTGCAAGTTTACCTTGAGAGAATCCTGGACTAGAACTCTTTGTACTTCAGATTTCTGAATTTTCTCCCCATTTAGAGAATAGTCCATGGTTTTATTCTTCTTACCAAAGTGCATGACCTCACACTTTCCCACGTTGTACTCCATCTGCCACTTCTTTGCCCATTCTCCTAACCTGTCCTAATCCTTCTGAGGCCTCCCCGCCTCCTCAATACTACCCGTCCCTCCACCTACCTTTCTATTGTCTGCAAACTTAGCCAGAACGCCCTCAGTTCCTTCATCTAGATCATTAATGTATAAAGTGAAAAGTTGTGATCCCAGCACCCTTGTGGAACACCACCTGTCACTGACTATCCTGGGAAAGACCCTTTTATCCCACTCTCTGCTTTCTGCCAGAATCTTCTATCCATGCTAGCCCCTTGCCTCTAATGCCGTGGGCCCTTATCTTACTCAACAGCCTCCTGTGTGGCACCTTATCAAAGGCCTTCTTGAAGTCCGGGTAGATAACATCCATTGGCTCTCTTTGGTCTACCCTGCTTGTTACTTCTTCAAAGAATTCTGGCAGATTTGTCTGGCATGACCTCCCCTTGATGAAACCATGCTGACTATGCCCTATTTTACCATACACTTCCAGATATTCAGCACTCATCCTTTACAAAGGACTCCAAAATCTTACCCACGACCGAGGTTAGGCTAATCGGCCTGTAATTTTCCGTCTTTTGCCTTACTCCCTTTTTAAACAGGGGTGTCATGTCAGCAATTTTCCAGTCCTCTGGGACCCTCCCGGACTCTAGCGATCCCTGAAAGATCACCATTAACGCTTCCACTACCTCTTCAGCTACCTCCTTTAGAACTCTGGGGTGTAGAGCATCTGGTCCATGTTATTTATCCACCATCAGGCCAAATCAGTTTTACTAGCACCTTTTCCTTGGTGATGGCCACCATACTCAGCTCTGTCCCCTGACTCTCTAGAATTTGTACGAATCGATACGAGTAGTCGTATCACATCTGATGGTGGCATTGAGGAAGTCATATCTGGATTTCCTGTATCGGTCTGGGTCGTTCGACTTGAATATCACACACCTGGTCTTCAGTAGGTGATGGACTTCTGGGTCCATCCAAGGTTTCTGGGTTTTTTTTTTGTGGTGGGGGGGCGGATTTCTTTGGAACACAGTCCTCCACGTGCTTGCTAACCAAGTCTGAGGGTGATTTGCCTAGGCTGCCCTCCAAGTACTTGAATACAGTCCAGTCCACCGATTCCACACAATCCCATAGACGCTCTCCCGCTGCCTTAGACCAACACTGTACTACTTTCGGTGAAGGATCCTCCCACTTCGGCTCCTGCTTGCAAGCCGGGGGTGGGGAGGGAAGGGACACAGCGCTGGGACCGGATTTTCCAAAGCGTGGACGGGGTACGGAGCGGTAGGCGTCCTGGGTGGTTGCGCAGCAAGGATGTTCGGGCCTCTTGCAGAAGCAGGGAGAGGTGCTGCTGCTGTTTTGGCAGCACCTTCTGGAGGATGGCCTGGCTGAAGTCGTCAGCCACAACAAGCAAAGCCTCAGGGAATTTCGTCTCTAGGACTTTATTTTGTATAACGTTTCAGTTTTATACTGGGCAAAGCTTCATTATTAAGTAATCTGTGCTGTAAACATAGCGTACAGCCCCTACATTACATCTCTGTTACCTTGTGTACATTGACTACTTGGGTCTCTTGATGAGCCTGAATATCTCAACCATTAGGCACATTCCTGGTCCCATTGGTGCCCTTTAATAAAACATCTGCTGTACTTCAGCCAAGGTCTATGCAAGTGCAGCGAGAAATCACTCCTTCTGAATGCCAATATACTATTTGCCTTCCTCACTGCTTGCTGGCCAATGCCTGTCTATTTTCATCGACGAGTAGAGACAGACAGTCAGGTCCCTTTGTACATCAAAAGCTAAACAAAGGACTGCTGGTGTTGGAAACTTGAAGCGAAAAAACAAAACACACGAACAAAACAAATTGCTCGAGAAACTCAGCGGGTCTGGCTGCAGCTGCATGGAGAGAGAGAAAGTAAATTTAACATTTTGGGACCAGGAGAACCCCTCGTCCGAACAATTCTGAGGAAGTGTCACTGGACCCGAAAACATTAACTCTGCTTTCTCTCTCCTTGCAGGAGCAGCCAGACCTGCTGAGTTTCTCCAGCAATTTCTGATTTTGCTCCTCTTGTGCACTGACAGCTCCCAATACACCACTGCTGAAGTCACACTCCACCTTTCTGTTCACATTCTGCCTACATTTGCCCACTAATTCGACTTTGTCCTCATCATGCCTCCTTGCATCATGTTCACAAATCCACTGTGGCTTTAAGAGGTGTATTTTGCCCTGGCTTCTTTTGACAGAGAGAGATAGATTGAACAAGTACCACCAAACAAACAGTCTGTGGTAACGCAAACAGTTTGAGGGACCTTGGGTTTTCTCTTTTTTTAAGAAAAGTTGGAACAATAGAAGCAGCCTGGCTGGGTGTGGCCAGCTCTCCAACACCAGGATTTCTAGCCTTTTAGGTTCAACAGAAGCAGTTAGAATCATTTCTCCCCCTCCCTCAGTTATAGCAAGAAACTGGGGCTTGTCTTCCTACTGTGGGCATTGCATGAGAGAAAATCTATTTCCTGAATTTGCCTTTTTGCCAAGGGACACGTTTATGGTGTGCTGCGACATTGCAACACTTAATTAGTAACAGCACTGGATGAATTATTCTGTTAAGTTTTCCAATACAGTTATTCTAAGTTCTTCTTTCTTTCATTGTATTTTTAACTACGGTATTCAAATTAATTGCGTTTTGCTTAACATCAAATAGTTTGAGCAGTCGAATTGCATTTGGAACACAACACTTAACATGTCTTCAATATAAGACAGACTTCAGGTCTAGGCTAACTTAAAATACTTTTGGAAGTGGGGGGGGAAGAGGAGGAGATGATCTGGTCTGGTCCATGACACCATTCAGTTGCCACCAAAACTCTGTATTTGGTTCCCTGATGTGTTTGTGTGTGGCATTAATAGCTGAAGCACCAAGTAAAGGCCTACAGCTTCTGCAGCACACGGCGACACAGGATTCAAGCCCACAGCCTCATCACTGAACACAAACAAACAGTCAGACTCAGTACGCAATCCAGGGTGGTGGGGCCAGGCTGTACACTCACTTGGAGCACCCTCCTGGGCCTGGGTGGTGGATCTTCCGAGGACTCGCTGCCGCTGCTCTCCTCCTCCTCCTCACCCTCTTCTTCCTCCCCGCCAATCCCCTCCTGCTCCGCCAGGCCGGCGGGCAGCGAGCGCAGCAACTCATCCAGGGGCAGTTCGCTCTCCCGCCGCAGCAGCTCGATCTCCCGCCGCCGCGTCTCGTCATCGTTGCCGGCCTGCTTCTCCTCCACCTCGATTGTTTCCTCGTCATCTTCCTCCTCGTGAGGCTGGAAGTCTGCAGGAGGCAAGGAGGGGGGGGGGGAAAAAAAAAGAGGTTTCTGCTGAGCTGCGCTGAGCAGGCTCCCGCCGCAACCGGTGCCAGCGTTTCAACAGGTTCGGGTCACTCTCTGAGCGAGTGGAGGGGAAAGAGACCGCGAAAGAGACAGAGATTACAAGAGACTGGCATGTAGCGTGGAAACACTGCCACCTTAGCAGGAAGGAGCAGTTAAAGTGGCGTACTACTCAAACAACAGTTTTGTACAGTGCGGAACAAAAGGATCTGCAAGTCCCAGTGCATGAGCTGCAGAAGTTGGCACGCAGCAAGGATTAGCAAACAAGGAAGTTGGCCATTTACTGCCTGTGGAGTGGGGTTTCAAAGCACAGAAGCCCTGCTACAATCACACGGAGAGAGTGTGTTAGCAACACTGTTCCGGGAGACAGTTTCCGGTCTCCAGGCTAAAGGAGGGGAACATGGCACTACAGACAGATTCCTGCAGTGAAGGGGAACACTGCACGAGCACAGGCCCCACACAAGCTGGGTTTGTGCCCTGGGCTGAGGAGGAGGACCTTATTGAAACGTACAATTTCAGGAGATCAAGAAAACAGCAGGGTGTTTGGCCTGTGGGAGGTGCCCTGCTATTCGCTGCCTGATCCACCATGGACACTACACTCTTGCTTTCTCCTTGGATGCCTGGAAACCTTGATTCCTCCTCAAATATACTGCAGGAAGAGACGCCAAACCCTCCCACCCAACACCACCCACCCCCCACCAACAGAACAGTGGTCAGGAATTGTACAGGCTGCCCACAAACCAACGACCGCCCTGCGACAGCTGCTCACGAACGAAATGGATCCCACACCCACACAACCAATAAAACTAATGTAATATACAAAACACCATGCAAGGACTGCGAGGAACATTATATAGGCCAAACTGGCAACAAAACGGATACACGAACACTGACTAGCCACCACCAATTCTCTCTGGTCTTAGTACACACTGACAAAAGGAGGACACGAATTCGACTGGGTCAACACATCCATAAAAGCACGAGCCAAACAGAGGCATGCCAGGGAATTCCTGGAGGCCTGGCATTCCAAGCAGAACACCGTCAACAAACACACTGTATATCGGGTCCAGTTCACTGGAAAAACTGGACCAAAAGTAACACTAACCACCCCAGCAAACCGAGACATATAAATCACAAGCGGGACAGAACACCGACACTTCACCGGATGCACAGAGACGCTGTTACCTAGCAGGGTGACAAAACGTTTGCAACCAAACACACTGCCTCAGCGAGCAAGTCTACAACCTCATCTGCAACCCGAACTACAAATCTTCCCAAAAACTTTAGATCAAAGCACGTACAGATGTAGTCAGAATAGTCCCAGACCCAGGGAACTACGGTCTGGTCAGACATTAGAAAGTTGGGAGGCACACACGACCGGGAGCGAGTTTACTGGAGAGTCTCAGGGAAAGGTTAAGCAGATTGGGGCTTACAGGCCTTGCAGTTTAGGAGAACAAGAGATGATCACATTGAATCATAGACTATCCTGACAGCAAAGGTCCTGATACGGTGCAGGCTGAGAGGATGCTCTCCCCTCATTGGGGATGGGGAGGGAGGAGAAATCGAGAACGAGGGAGTTATGTTTTCAAAATTAGGGCTCTCGGGCTCCTGACTGTGACGAGGAGGGCAGGTCCATGGAAGTCTACGCTGCACCAGACAGACAGAGAGCAGTGGAGGGAGTGTCACTAACATATGAGGATGAGCAAGATGTTCGTGGATGAAGATGTTAAGGGTTATGAAGGCGTGGTGGGGGGGGCGATGACAGGAAAGTTGGGTCAGCCACGGCCGCCTCCAACCCCCAACATCTTCATGCAGAAGGCGATCCCCACCGTCCTGCCTCCCCGCACTCACCTTCGTCCTCGGTGGCCGAGCCGGAGATGGGAGGGGTGGAAGCCGCTGAGCCAGCCAAGGAGGAGCCGAGCTGGGACGAGCCGGGCTTGCTGGCTGGCAGGGACTCGTTGAGGCTCTGGCTCAGCAGGTCCGAGTACTTCTCGGTCTGGCCCACAATGAAATCGAGCTGCAGGTCCAAGGCCTTCTTACGTTTCTCTTCCAGGCGGGACTGCTGCTTGAACTGCACCACCTACACAGACAGGGCAGGCGGAACGGAGAGAAGATAGAGGAGACAGAGAAAACGAACACAAGTGAGCAAGGTGGGGGGGGGGGGCGTGGAAGAGGGAGAAAATAAGTGAGAAACAAGAGGAGGAGGGAAAGAGAGAAGAGAGCAACAGACAGGAAAGCAAGCGAGCGGCAGGGGAGTGGGGGGGGGGGGGGGGAAGAGAGAGAAACAAAAACAGCAAGTGACAGAAACATCACAACGAAGACGGGTGAGAGAACAAGTAGGGGGAGGAAGAGCAACAAAGTGATGGAGTGGCATTAGAAGGGGGGGGGGGGAAGAGAGCGAAAGACAGAACAAAAAGTGAGCAAGCAGGGGAGTGGGGTGTAGTGAGCACACAGAGAGAACGGTAAGAGAGAGAGAGGGAGAGAACGAACACACGAGCAGGAAGAGGGTGAAAGGGATGGTGGTGGGGAAAACGCAAGAAAGAGAGAGAAAAAAAACATGAACTGTGGTCAACAAGGGCACAGCGATACAGTTCCAAAATCAGGACAGAGCATGCTTGAAGGAAACCGAGGTATCCCAGGACGTCTGCTGTCTGTCAAAGCAGTAGAGGTTGTAGGTTTGGAAAGGGTTGGCGGAGGAACCCTAGACAGGGGCAGCATATTAACTCACCCTGATGTGAGCAGGCCCCACAGTCACATACAATGGCTTGACCGCAGATGGGGAAAAAACCCCATGTCTCTCCTGTTCAGTAACACAGCTGGCACCGTTCCAGCCAGCTGTGGAGTTACGAAGGAGAATCGCTCTAAGCCCCAGCTACCA